GATTTGTCCTACAAATGGTTGAGACTTATACAAGTATAACTTAAACTGCTATGTTACGTAGTTAACAACTTATCAATACAGGGACAAATAACAGTCAGATCATTTTTTGTTTCAAATCTACAATGTTGCAAATTTTCATATTCTTTATTTCTTTTTCGTTCTTTTTATCGCCAATAGTAAAGCATAAAGGGGTTAATCTATAAAGCATATGGATAATTTACTCATTCACAGTACTAAAACATAAATAATCAAGCAGACGTTAAAAATGTTACAGCCATTTAAAAGACAAATTTTAGTTAGCTGATGATATTAAATTACAATAAACACTGTGTAAATGTCTGTACATTTTTTTTTTCGTTGGCAATATTGACCTGACACAATTTGAATATTCAATGACCTTGTGTCGGTAATTATCAGATTGTGAAATGAACTATACTGATTTTAAGGTATAGTACAACGGAATATGTATAACTATACACTTTCTAGTACCGTCCATGAACAGGCTCAATCAAACCCAGCCTGCAACATTTTACAATTTAGCCGTGATTGGCTTTCTTAAAGGATTCTGTATGCACTATCTTAGAATTAGACCTTTCTATCTTAAACTGAAACGTAAACATAAACAGAAACATACTTCGTAATAGCAGTCAATCTTAGGGGTTTTCTCAAACGTAGTAAAGCTTGTATTAATTACTCAACAAAATCACAAGGTTTCGTATTTTCTAAACTGACATTCGCCTAAAAAGAGTTGCAGCAATTTTCTTCGTCCCACCGAAGAAGCACATATATTAACGACTCGGGGAAGTAGAACTCTAGAATGGCGCTAAATGGAACCAATCGACCTGTATTGCTTGATCTCCCCTATAGCTTAATCAACTAAAACTCTATATTTCTGAATAAACCTGGTAATCTTTCGCATTTTCTTACGTCTGTTAATTTGCTGTGATGTATATGGGGTCGTAAGGGGATGTCGATTAGGATAAATTTTATCTCGTAGAAGAACACATTCCCCTGGAAATGGAAGTATGTCGCTGCCAATGTCTAGCATAAGATTAAACTGCTGAACATCATTCAGATGACCGGGAAATCCTGACGTCACCATCTGAATCCACAATAACTTGCGAATTGATAGCGTGAAAGTGACGGTATCTAGAATAGAATTGTTCTTGTGTCTCATGCATTGGTCGCAATATTTCGTGTGATGCTCCATCTATTGCAACAACTGTGTTGAGACTAAGTTATATCAAGTGATATGAAGATACAGTATGTTTTCATGTTAATTTACATACTGATATCAGAAATGATTCAATATGATACAAATTATGTTTCTATTAACTCCTCAACATATCAGGTCACAAAACAATGTCCTTTGTGTTTCAATTCTTTACACCCCACCAAGATTCGTCTGTCTGGTTTCCGTATACAGCAAAAATGCATGCAAAAATCTTGAAAAACTACGTTTTATTGTTTAAGGTGCATTGCAACGTCGACGGAAAGTTTCTTTTTCAAAGGAAGAAACCTTATTAATTCTAAGGACATATGAGCTCACCCATGTAGCTGGACCAACGTTATAACTGATATCAAGGTTGTCAAATAACCATCAGTTGCAGTACAGAACGGATACATTAAAACAATTGAAAGACAGAGTATCAAATAAGTTCGGTCGACTTCTTCACAGCACTATTGATACCGTTGAGGATGCTGTTATAAGGTAAGATTTCAACAATGCTCAGAAGAATAAAACGCATGCTAGTATCTAAGCTAAGAAATATTTTCTGTAATGAAGATCAATTAACAAAATTTCAAAATTAAGGATTTTACAAGACAACATTTACGTTAAAGCGGACATGTGTTGACCGATGATTTATATAAGCGGCCGTGTAATAAGTTTATATATAATACTCTTTTTGAAGCGAACCTTAATTGAAAAAAAAAAAACAAACAAGCAACAACTGCATATTGTCTTGTCGACAAAATCGTGCTGTTGATGATAGACACTACTTTTGTATAAAGTGTAATATTTTCATTATTAAATTTGATCTATATATGTACATGACACATGTGCAAGGTATACGGGACTTGTTTCTCCACCAACCGAAGTTAACACCAGGCAATAGAGCTATCAAAGGGAGCTCCTACTTCAACAGATCAGTGAGTCCGACGATGATGATGTTGGATAGAGGAGCACCACAGCCTGCGGGCTGTCAACATCAGCAAAACTTGCAGGTTGACAACAATTACGAGGAGAGGGCAGGTTCAGGCCGAATTCAACACACAACACCCAGTGCCGGCTGTTTCAAATGTTGCAGCCGGTCAACGTAATCGGCCGGTTCATCGCAGGAGGAAAAGGCCTCCCTTGCAGATCAAATTAGAGAAAATCAGGCTCTCTACAGGAGATTCCTGACAAAAAAGTTCAAAAAATACTCCGGAAACTTAGCGTAAGCAGTGACAGCAGTGATGACAATTACATTTAGTTCCACGTACTCACACATAACTTTAAAAATGGTCATTTTGGTTATCTTTGTTGAAAAATTTACATGACAATAAAGTATATGAAATAAGAAACTTGTTTTGTTTTTAAGTCTATATAAAAATTTTGGTTATATTATTTCTATTATTGTGTTGGTCGTTTATAGAAATAATATAGCAAACATAATCCTGTAAAAAACGCTGTATTTCAGTTTAAGCGTATTGATCTTTATAATTATCTTATTTTCCACATATATGTTTTGAGAAAATCCCCAATTTTATTCAGTATTACGGAGTCCGTTTACGAAGTCCGTTTAAGATAGAAAGGTCTACTACCAGCATATCACTTCCCTTACTTGCCTCGGTGACATGATATGTGTTAAACTTTCAGTCACTATCAAATTTAAGATTGTAGGTTTGAATCAAAGGATTTTTTGTATGCTTTCCTGTATGGATTAAATTTTATAAAACACGTGGTTTTTTTTAACTTGGCCATTTTGAGTTATGCATGCGAATTACTATGTACACTTTGAAATTCATGAAATGAAAAAAATATATATTTATCAAGATCATTAAATTAAAAATAAACGCTAGAAATGAAAAATGCGATTTATCAACTCATGCTTCAAATGATTAAAATAAATAGTACAAAATAGTTTATGAAAACTATATAAATGGTTTGTCCAAGATACGAACTTGCAGCTGCGCATGCGTGGTCATAATTCCGTCGTACATACCACTAAGTCATCGAACAGCATTTATTTATTTAGTATCGAGATAAATACCATTACTAAAATCGTATGCGTAAACCATAATAAATTACAAAAACTATACCAAAAATCTCCTGAAAATTAATTAGTCTCGGGTCAATATTGCCAAGCTATAGTAACTTTTGGACATATAGGAATATCTCTATACATCTGTCAACAAAAGATGGAAAATGTTTTATTTTAATGTTGCTTGTCTACAATACGCATATTTTTAAGAAATATTACAAATAATGAAAAAAATATTCCTACAAAATATTTCTTAAACATTTTTTTTATGAAAATTGATTTATTTTCCTTAATTACTAATATTTTGTTCTAGAACATTTATAACCACTATCCATATATAATTCCTTCATGGTTTGTTATCACATATCATATACTATCGCCATTAACTTTACTGGTATTGCATACTTTCCAAAGTTTCCATTACAGTACCTTTAATGTCCTTTTGAAATTAAATTAAAATGTAAAAACAATTAGTTTAAACATATTTATTTCCCGAATATTTACATGATATACATAATACAATACAATCAGAATACAAATATATAATATATTCAAAGAAAAGGATGAGAACGAAAGTTTAAGTCTTATAAAATTCTTCTCCTTTTAGTGTAACTTTATAATAAGTCGATTTTATAATATTTTGTACAATTATCAAAAAAGTGGAATGTAAATATTTGTAACGAAGTAAACGTTATATTTATAAGTAATCATCGGGATAAGAATTAGAAATTTTAATAACGAAAAAAGAAGAAAGGAAAACAGATAATACAATAGGAAGAAAAAAGAAAGAAAGAGAAAAGAAAGATTGCTTCACTGTTTCACTTTAAGTTCAGAGAAATCGCTTTGATTCTAAGATAAAAGTATGAACATGTTTAAAGATATTGGCATTATCAGTATCTGAGATGTCCGGGTTGCCAAAAAGTAGGGTGTTGAGGGTAATATCGAAATTATTTAGATTTCCCAATAATTTTTCTCTACATGTACGAAAGCGATTGCATTCAAAGAAGTAATGAAAGTTAGTTTCCATTTGACCACACTCACATAATGGCGATGGTGATATATTTTTAAGAAACAAATTATAATTTAGGGAGCTACATTTTGTGCGTAACCTGGTGTGAAGAATTTAAAGTTTTCTATCACCAATTTTGGTGTAGTTTTCTTATCACGTGATAGATAATTTTTAAACATTGAAAGGGTTGGTAGATTCCTTATGTTAAGGGGCAAGTTGTTCCATTCACGAATTGAAGATGGGAAAAAAGAACTAAAGTATAAAGATGTCCTTGCTGAAATACCAATAGTGTCGTTTGAATTTCTAAGGTTATAACGAGTGTTTGTTTGATACGGTATTGGTTCTGACAAGTATTCTGGTGCAATGCCATGTTTGATTTTATAGAATAATGTTAATCTATGTTTATAACGTCTTTGTTCTAATGTTTCCCAATTTACTTCATTATTTAAGTTTTCAATTGAAACTAGTCTTGTTGCACCAGACACTATTCTAGCACATTCATTTTGTATTTTATCTAAGAGGTCAAGTTCATACTGAAATGCGTTTCCCCATACCACATCCGCATATTCAAGGACTGGTCGGATAAACGATATATAAATAATTTTCAAGAGATTTTCGATCAACATGAATTTCAGTTTTCTCATTATGTTCATCCGTTTCCATGCTTTTTCATTAATATATTCTATATGTGAATGCCACAGCCAATTGTGAGACAAAAATAATCCTAAGTGTTTATGATCTTTTACTTCAGGTATAGTTTGATTAAGCATTTGAAGTGGTTGGTGATATGAATTTCTTTTTCTAGAGACAATAAGGGATTCTGATTTAGACGGATTGAAAGTGACAAGCCATTTTTCTGCCCATGCAGCTATTATTTCAATATCTGATTGTAATTGTTGTGCTGCAGTTTGTGGGTTTTCAATAACAAGATAGAGACTGGTATCATCAGCAAAAAGATTAAGATTGGATTGAAGATCTTGGACTATGTCATTTATGTAGATGAGAAAAAGTAAAGGACCAAGGATCGAACCTTGTGGAACACCAGCTGAGAGAACACCCCAAGAAGATTCGGCATTTCTTAGAACAACACACTGACGTCTGCAGCTTAAATAATCCTGAAACCATTCAAATATTTTTCCAGATACACCATAATATTTTAATTTACAGAGAATGCCTTTGTGCCAGACTTTATCGAATGCCTTGCTTATGTCGAAGAATATAACTCGAGCTTCGAGACCGTCATCAAGTGCTTTGCAAAGTATGTCATAAATATAAACAAGTTGATTTACAGTTGAATCCCCGAGTATAAACCCAGATTGCACAGGCGTAAGAATTCTATTCGCGTTCAAATGATTAAATAAATGCTTAAAGATCAGTCGTTCAAAAACTTTTTCCATAGTGTTGAGCAGTGAAATTGGTCTATAATTAGAAGGGAGAGATGCATCACCTTTTTAAAGATAGCAGTAACATGGGCTTCCTTCCAAGAAGCTGGTACTTTACAGCAAGATAGAGAGTGATTAAACAGATTAGTTAAAGGAATAGAGAGTTCTTTTGCGGCTTCACGCAAAATTTTATGACTAATACCATCTGGTCCAGATGCTTTGTCGACTTTAAGAGATTTAAGAATATCTTCAGTTTCAGATGCAGTTAGTAAAAGATCGTTTATAACAGTGGACGTTGTTTGTGGACCTAGGTCAGGAACATTTGAGTCAGAATTATCAATATAGGTTTGATGTAAGAAATATTCGTTCAATAGGTTTGCCTTTTGGTTTTCAGAGAATACAATTTCCTGGGTGTTTTGATTTTGTAATGGGGGAATTGACGTTGTCTGTGTAGGTGAGATAAAAGATTTTAATATTTTCCACCAGTCTTTTGAAGATAACGATTCCTGTTTTAGTTTGTCCGATAATTTAGAGTAATAAATAGCTTTCGCCTCTTTAATCTGAGATACTATTTGATTTCTTAATTGTTTAAATTTCACCCAGTGCATATTGGATTGAGTTAGTTTGACTTTTCTGTACAATCGTTTACGTCTACGAATATTTGACCTGATAGTATTTGTTATCCATGGGGCATCTATAGGTCTTACATATATATCCTTATTTGGTATATTATATTAACAGATTATTAAAATTTGATTTGAAACGTTGTCTGCGTATTTACTGATATTGAAATCGAAACATTCTTCCCATTGGAAACTGTTAAAATCATTTCGAAGCTTGACGTAAAAACAATTGATTAAGGTATAGTTGACAACTACGCGACATGTTAGGATTTTAAGTATATTACTTTGCATACGTTTGCAAATTTATAACTAAGCAAGTGTCCATCTACTTGACCCTCACCGCTGTGGGTTTGAATCCCAACAGGGACTAAGGATTATTACATGTAAAGACGCTATCCAGCTAGCTTACCGGACGTCGGTGGTTCTTCTTAAGTTTTCGTTCGTCCACGGAGGGGCACCAAATGTCTTCTTTCTCCAGTAAAGCAAGAAAAAATCGCTATATGACCTTACTGTGTTGGTGTGACGTTTTAATGTCTAAAATCTTAGTAGGACGTTGCATTTATTTAAAACATGTTTTTGGGAAATAAAATTATTGTATATTGTATTACAACTTTACTAGAAGGTACAAAGTTCAAATAAGGTTCTGCGCGATATGGCCAGTTATATGTTGACATGCCGTAAAAATCCAAACAAACACTTTTCTATTTTGATAATTAGTTTTAAGAAGTTCCTAATTAAAATTTTATTTCTGAACTTCTAATGATATTTAATTGCTTAATTAAGATAACAAAGTTGTTATAAGGTTCATTTCTCCTAGATATGAGTAAAACTTCCTTTATTACAGGTATCGACCATGCGAGGACATGCTTTAAATCTAAGCCATTTTTCATTGCTGTTGATAAGGAGGCTAATTTTCACAGCTATGTCTTGAATAAGTTTATATAGGACATCAATAACGCAACCAAGCTAGATGTCAATTTATATCCTTTTAAGTCCGCTTTAAATTAAAATAAAATTCATATGTAATTTCTTGGATAGGTTTTTTTTCTACTTTTCATTCTATATATATGTAATGTGATGGGCTAGTAAGCATCGATCACAAAAAAATTACATGAACATTGCAGACTCGGTTTGACTGAGTCTGTACAACACCCAGATGCCCCCTCCCCTAGCACCGGCTTAAACGGTGCTCAATTTTCAACAATTTAAAGTGTTGTAATCAATAAGCCCGAAGGACTTGAAAATATAACAAAACTGGAGTGAAGTACTAGGCAACTTTTTAACAGCTTCCACCACAGCACCTGCTCTTGTTAAGTACAAAACTCTGGATAAAGTGTGATCCCTCGGAAGAAAGCTTAATCTAAGCTGAATTTATAAAATGTACTTTTTAAGCTAGTTTTTTATCTGTCTATCGATCTCGGAATATCATGTTAAGATAGCCAGTCATAAGGACAGAGCTGGTTCAGTCTGCATGGATGTGCAGCCTGGCATGCATGTATATCTCTATACTGGTAAAATCATTTCGATTCTACCAGGGTAAAGGTGCGGTTTTGTTCAGTGGTCATGTTTACACAATTGCTTTTTATCTTAGCTAATCCAAAGTCTATACAGTTTTCAACTTGCCTTTATATGTAACTGTATCAGTGAAGAAATACTTTACTGGCGTAATTGAACATGTTAAAGATATATTCGTTTTTAAAATATTTTATTTGGTTTGCAGTCCAGAACAGTTAGTAAAATACAACTGTCCTTGTTCTGGACGAAGCATATTGCATCAATATTGCCAATTCTGTCTCACCATACTAAATCAATATAAGAGGAAACTGCAGTCTAAGTTATCAATTGAATAAGAACCGTCGAAACGTTTACAGCTTTGCTTCTTAATCAAGAGTTTGCAATTGATTAGACGCCTAAACTAAGAAAATTCGAATAAAGCATTACACTGTCTGTGACACGATTTCATGAATCAGTGTCAACAATACATGCGTGGTATGTTTCGTCTGATTTTTATGTGTAACAGAATTAAAAGGCATTAATTTCACAAGTAATGAATTGACAAAATTTTATGTTATAATAATTGTTAAATGTACAGAACTCATCTTGAACATTTCTTCTGTTGTTATCAAAGTTTATAAAAGTTAATTTATTGTCATTAGTTTTAAAGATATAACGTTTTTGTATTTCATTTCTTTTAATTTCCTAAATGATTATTAAGATTTACTAATTTCTCCAACTTTATACTGCAATAGCGATGTCAGAAATATGTTTTGGGTCATAAGATTTTTCGTAGTTAATTAATAAACAAAATGAAAACGTCGTATATACGGACACGCATATTGTTTAGCCATATGCTTGCTTATCAATAAAAGGTGTGTATGCAATGAATACTGTGATCATCCCCATTTACTTACATTATTTTTACTATTATCAGTGAAGAATAAGTTTGTCTATAGAAGAACAATTCTTAAGAAATCGATTTGCATATAATATACGTTATTGGAAAAGAGCTTGTAGCAAACTTCATTCCCAAAGCGCAGATATACCGAAATATCAATTCTTATTAAACAGTAATAAAATGTATATGATTATCAATTCTGTTGCAACAGAATAATCCGAAACAGCAGTTTATGTCAGAAACACTCAAGATCTATATGAAATATATTAAAACATGTAATATAGAGACTAGACTATCTATACTCAGAACATGTAATGTAAAATGATAAATGTAGCTTTATTCTTTTTTCTTTCTTACTTTCGGAAAACTGTTTTAAATATGAACATCGGCATTTTTTCTGAAAACAAGGTCACGTGGGTGAACTACACATGGATTTCACAATTAAGTATAAAAAAAAAAACATGTGAGTATCCGCTGATCCAGATGTGTACTTGAGCCCCATTTGTGATGGCAAAAGAAAGTCGTTCAAGAGGTAAGTTTTCTTCTTTTTTCCAACATTTTAAAGAAAAAAACACGTAATGTGGCTATCCTTTATATTTACCTTTTTGGATTTCCATGCAGTATTTGTGAAGATATTCTTTCACAAAGTGAGTTCTGATTTGATAGACATAAATACTTTAAAAGACTTTATTGTCACCGGCCAAGTATTTTAAATTTGAAAAGCTTATGTCAGAGCACCAAACAAGTAAGTTAACAAAGTTGCCTATATACTTTGCGTCTAAGAAATTAAAGAATGGATGATATCTTGTTTACTTCTCTGACTATTTTGTATGTTTTGTTTTTTGTTTAGCTTCATTTCAAGTTCACATCAGTATATGAATGTAAATATTTGCTATATGCAACTTTCAGGTGTTTGACGCATAGTAAATGTTGTTGTTGTTATATATATATTTATAGTTTTTTAGCCCTGTAGTGTAATAGATGAATAGCCCTGTAGTCTAATGGATGAATTGTCTATACAGTTGTTTTTTTATTTTAAATTATATCTGCGTGCAAACTATTAATTTTCTTATTCAGAATCGAGGCGACTATGTACAATGCCATATCAACTTTCAACATATCAAGAATCGGATTGAACAACAACAGAACCGAAAACCAGTTTATCACAATCACTTGATTTTGGAACAGACTTCCAGCAAAAAATGTGTAATGTAGGTTCAATTAACATATTAATAATATAACAGTGCAGAAATTCGAAGCAGCACATTCCATTTGATGCTTGTACAGAAACTGTACAAACATAAGATAATTGCTAATGTTCATTAATGTATATACATCTAACAAGTGTAAGCCATTATGTGCAAGTTTGGGTATAACATCTGCGATTTGAAATGGCAAATTATACGCTTAATATCGACTCATGATTATTTTTAAAAAGACGCAGTTGTTATTGTAGATCATGATTAAATTCCCAGCAAGTTTGACAACTTGCAGACGTTATTATAAATGGACAATTATTTCGACGCCTGAAGTAATAAACAGAAATGGAAAGGATTATCAAATTGTCTGTATGTGCATCGGACACTTCAATTCTATTAAATTGGGCTTTCATAAAGACAAAGTTATAAGGCCAATAAAGAAGGTTTCTAAGTCCTAAGTAAAAATATAAAACAAAGAAGTGACACAGGGTTAGAAAATGTGCAGCCTGCCCGGGACCCTCGAAATACCGTACTGCGGTTCTAAAGGCTGAGCTATCCACCCGCTTACACCCTATCTCTCCTAAATAGTGAACAGTTCTGAACCCTGACATACTCCCTCGCTTTATTGAAATTTGTCCTCGAATTTCTAATGGGTACAGAGAACAATGTGAAATTGGACTCGGAGCTTTATACAATCACGCCCCAATGTTGGGCACCAAATGTAACAGACTTGTCAATGATCTTCTAGACGGTATGGAGAAGCAAGAGGTCACAGCTCTTATTGCAATAGATCTAAATGCAGCTTTCGACACCGTTGACCACAACATTCTACTCGACGTGTTACACAGTCAGTACGGTGTCAATGGTACCGTGTTAGCTTGGGTGGACTCGTACCTGCGACCTCGTAGTTGTCGCGTCAGTGTTAATTTCTACTGAATCGACTCCACGATTGCTGGAATGCAGTGTACCTCAGGGGAGCTGTCTTGGTCCGTGGCTCTATCTCACATATGCGGGAACCCTATTTGATGTGATACCACCATCCATATCTGTGTACGGCTTTGCTGATGACCACATTGCTAGTCAACGCTTTCGACCAACTTCAGTGACCAATGAACTTAACGCTATAAAGCAACTTGAAGACAGTGCTGTAATCATCAATGACTGGATGAATGCCAATAAACTCAAAATGAACACCACTAAGACAGAATTCATTATGTTTTTTGGTAGTAAAGCCCAACTTGGTAAATGTTCAATTAAAGAAATTGATATCGCCGGTGATAAAATTCAAAAATGTCAGTGTCATAAGATACTTAGGTGCCTACTTAGACGAGGGCCTAAGATTCTCAACACATGTTAAGACAAGTGTAGAACTGCTATGTTAAACTATTTTG